GATGTTTTATAACACTGGTTAGCTGTATTCCTAGATATTTTACTTACATGTGTATGACAATTTTGAATGGGATTGCATTCCTGATTTGGCTCCTCCCTTGAATGTTGTTGGTGTTTAGGAATGCTAGTAATTTTTGTGCGTTGATTTTGTATCCTGAGACAGGATAAAGTTGTTTATCATCTGGAAGAGCTTTTGGGCCAAGACTGTGGGGTTTTCTAGGTATGGAATCATGTAATCTGCAAACAGGGATAGTTTGACTTCCTTTCTTCTTACATGGATGCCCTTTCTTTCTTTCTCTTACCTGATTGCTTTGGCTAGTACTTCCAATACTATGTTGAGTAGGAGTGGTGAGAGAAGGCATCCTTGTCTGGTACCTGTTTTCAAAGGGAGTGCTTCCAGGTTTTGCCCATGATGTTGGCTATGGGTGTGTCATAGATAGCTCTTATTATTTTGAGGTATGTTTCTTCAATACCTAGTTTATTGAGAGTTTTTAACATGAAGAGGTGTTGAATTTTATTGAAGGCCTTTCTACATGTATTGAGATTAATCATGTGGTTTTTGTCTTTAGTTCTGTTTATGTGCTGAATCACATTTATTGATTTTCATAGGTTGAACCAACCTTTCCCTTCAGGGATAAACCCTACTTCATCATAGTGGATAATCTTTTTTGTGTGCTGCTAGATTCAGTTTGCCAATTTTTTGTAGAGGATTTTTGCATTAATGTTCATAAAGGATATTGGCCTGAAGGTTTTTGTTGTTGTTGTTGGGTCATTGCTAGGTTTTGGTATCAGGATGATGCTGAATTTATAGAATACGTTAGGGAGGAATTCCTTCTCCTCTGTTTCTTTAGAATAGTTTCAGTAGAAATGGTACCAGCTCTTCTTTGTACATCTGGTAGAATTCAGCTGTGAATCTAGCTGGTCCCAGGCTTTATTCAGTTGGTAGGCTATTTAGTACTGATTCCATTTCAGAGCTTGCTATTGGTCTGTTCAGGGATTCAATTTCTTCCTGGTGCAGTCTTGAGAGGGTGTATGTGTCCAGGAATTTATTCATTTCTTCCAGATTTTCTAGTTTATGTGTAAAGAGGTGTTCATAATATTCTATGATGGTGATTTGTATTTCTGTGGAGTCAGTGGTAGAATTTTCATTCATCATTTCTAAATGTATTTATTTGGATATTCTCCCTTTTCGTCTTTATTAGTCTAGCTAGTGGTCTAGACTACTAGACCGCTAGTGGTCTGTTTTATCATTTTCTTCAAAAAACACCTCCTGGATTTGTTGTCTTTTGAATGGCATTTCATGCCTCAATCTCCTTCAGTTCAGCTACGGTTTTGGTTATTTCTTGTCTTCTGCTAGCTTTTGGGTTGTCTTTCTCTATTCTCTAGATCTTTTGGTTTTGATATTAGGTTGTTAAATTGAGATCTTTCTAACTTTTTGATGTGAGCATTTCATGCTATAAGTTTCCTCCTTATCACTGCCTTGCCTGTATCCCAGTAATTCTGGTATGTTGTATCTTTGTTCTTAGTTTCAAAGAACTTCTTGATATCTGCCTTACTTTTATTATTTACCCAAAAGTCATTCAGAAATGGGTTATTCAATTTCCATGTAATTGTATGTATTTTTGGAGTTCTCGCATTTCCTGATAAGCAGGACCGCGTGGTAGAGTTCAGGTCTGACAGTTCTGCTAGGTTTAAAGTCTCCTATGGGAGCAAGTTGAGCCCAGGAGGATGGCCATTCCTGGTCGTGTTCCACTTCTGATGCTCCCACACCAAACCCTCTGATCTCTACATCAGCTGGTTTGCTAACCCTACCACTTCTCTAAGCAGCATTCCCTGCCAAGTAGAGTGTCTATGGTGGTCAAGGAGTCTCTTCTTGCAGTCATTCCAGAGGCCCAAGGTAAGAACATGTTGTTCCTTGCCTGTTCTACTCACCCATTTCCCCAGAGTCATTGGGAATCAGAAATGAGTCCTGATTCACAGTAGCCTCGTGTAGGGTTCCCAGCTTCCTTCCCCTAAAGCCCAGCTTCTGCATCTTCCCTCTGACCACTCTCAGTGCCTTCCTGCTGAAGATCTGTTAGGGATACACCAGTTGTCTCAGCCCATCGGTGGCAGCTGTTCCACATGGCAGAGTCTAGCTGGCCATCTTGCCCTTTCTCAATGTAAACTTTTGAAAAAATGTCTCCTTTTTCATACCACAACTATTGTTAAAGAATGCACCACCCAGAGGAATAAATCTATGGAAGCAAAGCCAATACTATCAATGAGAAATTCTGTATCCTCCAATGCCAGATTTTACCCAGGCAGTAAACTCATGGCAAGGCTCTGTGCCTTATCTATCTGTCTGTCTGTTTATCTATCTATCTATCTATCTATCTATCTATCTTTTTTTTTCTGAGACAGAGTCTTGCTGTGCTGCCCAGGCTGGAATGCAGTGAAACGATCTCAGCTCACTGCAACCTCTGCCTCTTGGGTTCAAACAATTCTTATATCTCAGCATCTCTAGTAGCCAGGATTACAGGTGCTCGCCACCACACCTGGCTAATTTTTGTATTATTAGTAGATATGGGGTGGGGTTTCACCATGTTGGCCAGGCTGGTCTTGAACTCTTTACCTCAAGTAATCCACCCACCTCAGCCCTCTAAAAGTGCTAGGATTACAGGCATGAGCCACTGCACCTGGCCTGTTGCTCAAGCAATTGATCGATCAATTGAGCTATCTATCTAATGTTTAGAATATTCAAAGTTTATTAAAAAGCATGCTGGAAATTTTCACTCTATTGTAAAACATACCATCTTTTTATTTCTCCTATATACAATACTAGATGAATATTTTCAATTACCATGTATCTCAGTCTATATCTCAGTTATATATTTTATGTGATTTTAAGGAGGAAGAGATTGAAAGTTATACTATTATTTCTTATAAATCAATATAATATTTTTAGAAAAAAGAAATATATATTGACCCACAGCCAATGTCACACTGAATGAGCAAAAACTGAAAGCATTCCCTTTGAAATCTGGCACTAGACAAGGATGCCCTCTCTCACCACTCCTATTCAATATAGTATTGGAAGTTCTAGCCAGAGCAATCAAGCAAGAAAAAGAAATAAAGGGTATTCAGATAGGAAAGGAGGAAGTCAAATTGTCTCTATCTGTAGATGACATGATTATATATTTAGAAGACCCCATCGTCTCAGTCCAAAATCTCCTAAAACTGATAAGCAACTTCAGCAAAGTCTCAGGATACAAAATCAATGTGCAAAAATCACAAGAATTTCTATACACCAATAACAGAGTTAAAGAGAGCCAAATCAAGAATGAATGGCCATTCACAATTGCTACAAAGAGAATACAATTAGGAATACAACTAACAAAGAATGTAAAGGACCTTTTCAAGGAGAACTACAAACCACTGCTCAAAGAAATAAGAGAAGACACAAACAGATGGAGAAACATTCCATGTTCATGGTTAGGAAGAATCAATATCATGAAAATGGCCATACTGTCCAAAGTAATTTGCAGAGTCAACATTATCTCCATGAAGCTACCAATGACCTTCTTCACAGAACTGGAAAAAAACACCTTAAACTTCATATGGAACCAAAAGAGAGCCCACATAGCCAAGTCAATTCTAAGCAAAAAGAACAAAGCTGGAGGCATCACTCTACCTGACTTCAAACTATACTACAAGGCTACAGTAATCAAAACAGCATGGTACTGATACCAAAACAGAGATATAGACCAATGGAACAGAACAGAGGTCTTGGAGGCAACAACATACATCTACAACCATCTGATCTTTGACAAACCTGACAAAAACAAGCAATGGGGAAAGGATTCCCTGTTTAATAAATGGTGTTGGGAAAACTGGCTAGCCAAGTGCAGAAAGCAAAACTGGACCCCTTCCTGACACCTTACACTAAAATTAACTCCAGATGGATTGAAGATTTAAACATAAAACCTAACACCATGAAAACCCTAGAAGAAAATCTAGGCAAAACCATTCAGGACATAGGCATAGGCAAGGACTTCATGAACAAAACACCAAAAGCATTGGCAACAAAAGCCAAAATAGACAAATGGGACCTAATTAAACTCCACAGCTTGTGCACAGCAAAAGAAGCAGTCATTAGAGTGAATCGGCAACCAACAGAATGGGAAAAAATTTTTGCTATCTACCCATCTGACAAAAGGCTAATATCCAGAATCTACAAAGAACTAAAACAGATTTACTAGAAAAATCAAACAAGCCCATTCAAAAGTGAGCGAAGGATATGAACAGACACTTTACAAAAGAAGACATATATGAGGCCAACAGACATATGAAAAAATGTCATCATTACTGGTTATTAGAGAAATGCAAATCAAAACTACATTGAGATACCATCTCACTCCAGTTAGAATGGCGATCATTAAAAAATCTGGAGGCAACAGATGCTGGAGAGGATGTGGAGAAATAGGAACACTTTTACACTGTTGGTGGGAGTGTAAGTTAGTTCAATCATTGTGGAAGACAGTGTAACGATTCCTCAAGGACCTAGAAATAGAAATTCCATTTGACCCAGCAAACCCATTACTGAGTGTATATCCAAAGGATTATAAATCGTTCTATTACAAGGACACATGTACACGAATATTCACTGCAGCACTGTTTACAATAGCAAAGACTTGGAACCAACCCAAATGCCCATTGATAATATACTACACAGGGAAAATGTGGCACATATACATCATGGAATACTATGCAGCCATAAAAAACGATGACTTCGTGTCCTTTATAGGGACATGGATGAACTTGGAAACCGTCATTCTCAGTAAACTGACACAAGAACAGAAAATCAAACATCGCATGTTCTCACTCATAGATGGGTGTTGAACAACGAGAACACATGGACACAGGGAAGGGAGCATCACCCACTGGGGTCTCTGGGGGGGAACTAGGGGAGGGACAGCAGGGGGTGGGGAATTGGGTAGGGATAACATGGGGACAAATGCCAGATAGAGGTGATGGGGAGCAAACCACACTGCCATGTATGTACCTATGCAACAATCTTGCATGTTCTTCACATGGACCCCAAAACCTAAAATGCAACAAAATATTTAAAAATGTATATCTATATATATTGGGATTTGTTAACATTTTATTTTTTCTAATTATTTATTCAGACTCAGAAAACATTTTCAATAATTTTTCCCCAAATTGCTCTCACTTATTAATTTTTGATCTGCTAATTTGTCACTAATGTATGTTTATTAATACTGTTTATTTGGTATAACTTACAAATAAATAATGAATTCTCCTGGAAATAATGCTCTTAATAAAAGTTATTAATAATGTTTATAAGCCCAATGCCATGTGGTGACCTAATGCCTTTTCTTCTTTTAAATTTCCACTTAACCCTGCCTCCTTCTTACAATAAAAAATATTCATTCATGGATTAGTGAATAACTGGTGATATGAAATCCCAAACATCTATCAAGAGATATATTTTCAATAATGTTTTTCTTTTTTATTTGATATCTATTTATAAAACGTTTCAGTTTTGTGATAAATTTTATAAAAGTATTATAAAGTAGTAATAGTTATAATGAAAAGTCTATCTTTGACTACAATTTTAAATTACAATGAAACATTTTATATGTCACATGCAAACACAGAAGTGGATTCATAGTTTTTCAAAAACTCTTTTAGAAGGTATGCCAGCAAAATATTATAAAGTTTACAGTGGTAGCCATGTGTGTAATGATTCAGAGTAATTAAATCCATAAGTAGCAAAATGTATAATATGTAGCTCTGGTATACCAAGATAATTTTGCTAGTCCTATTGCTAGTAAGATATATGCTTTAAGTTGGTATTGTTTTTCTAGAAATAGGGATGGATTTGAATAGAGTGATTTGTGTTTTCAATCCTCCAGTGATCAGTGACCTCCATGTGTTTACATATTTGACAAATGCCCAGGTTGGTCAATTGTTAGCAATAAGGAAAATCTTACATGATTATGTAAGTATGTTTCCCTAGATCTTGGCCTCCTATTGCACAGAGAGGCTTATTTCTAAGAGAAATGTACCCACTGGGTCTTTCTTGGACAATTCATCATATATTATTATGCAAAGTAAAAGCTGGCAATAAAAAGCTTGTTTTTTTAATTTTTTTAAAAAAGGAAAGAAAAACAGAGAATTGGATTAGTTTCAATTTGTTTCATTTAACTTGTATTCTGTTATTTCCAAGTTTCTGTTTGGAAAATATGAAATGCCAGCATTTTATATAATGATGTCACCACTATAAAATCATTTTTAAAATGTTTCCTTTGAGCTGTAGTCAGTTCTGCAATAAGCTGAATTGAGGCACTTGAATCAGATCCAAACAAAAAGAGCGTAAATTGCCCACCATTTTAAATAAAAACTGAGTGTTTATTTTGTTTTGTTTTTTAGTACCACATTTGATACTAGAAGCAGTTTGTTTAAACATGATCGTTTTTATTTGAAAAGTGCATTTCCCCTAAGATAAGGCTTCACATCAAAAGGAACATTACAAACTTTCATAAACAATAAAGTCAATCAGTTAATTATTCTTGGACCAGTATATTGACTTCTGGTGAGTTTCTACTAATATGCTTTTAAAAAGAACTGGATGGTCTTACTTGCCAAAATACCAATAAAGGAAAACTCTACCAAAACCCAACGAAAAAAGCTAATAGAAAAAAAAAATGCCATTTTTCATTGTATAGTATGCATCATTTGGTAAGATTAAAGAGCACTGAAAGAAATATTTTATGTCAACTAAGCACATGTTAATGCAGTGAATTCAAACTAATCTAGGCAGTTAATTCACATAATTGTGAGGAGGAGGAAGAAGTAAAAAGGGAGAGAGAATAAAACCTAAGAGAAGGGTAAATTGTTTTGCGAGTGAGGAATAGAGCCAGAGGGAATACAGACATTCCCAAGAATCTATTTCTTTCCTGCCTGAAACTTCTATGTTGAGAATGAAGAGCTTCTCACACTGTGCTTATATCTGAAACCCAGAGAAATACTGGAACCCGAGGATCAGGAGAGAATAAACAGAGATTGAAATCTAGGGGTCATTTGAACTAGAGAGATACAATCCTCAGGTACAGAAACCAATTTCAGGCTGTGACTACAAGTCACTGTCATAGTAGTCAGAAAGACCTGGAAAGCAAGTGACTCATGCAATCATTTTCTCAGTGAAAACCTGGGTACATGCACATGTCAGTTATTGCTTGAAGTTCTAGATATAAAGTGAAGACAAATAGTCTTTGCCTTCTAAGAGTGTATAATATAGTGCCAGAGACAGCCAAGAAAACAGTTACTCACAACACGGGGACCTAAAGGGGATGTCTAGAGTGGGCGGGGATTACAGAAGAGGGTATCTTTCCAGCTTTCAGAAAACCACGAGGGCTGACCGAAGAAGATGGGATATCCTGACTGAACTCTGAAAGCTGAGTAGAATTTAATTATTGAAGGTGTGCAGGAGAGGGAGGAGCAGGGAACTGGGATCACAAGAAGGATAAGCAACCTATGCAAAAGGCCTAGGGGGAAGAGAGCTTACTGCAGGTGAACTGACTGAAACGGCAGTTTATGCTTTAGGACAATAGATAGGGTGCCAGTGGGAAGATTTTGAGTGGAAAATAATACACATCACTTGAATTTTTGTGTCAAAATATCACCTCTGGATGCAGTGTCCAGAGAATAGTCCAAAGGAGAAAAAAACTGAAGGCAGAAAGATTAGGAGGCTGTTGAATTAATTCCTTTATTTCTATTTTTTAAAATTTAAGAAACTCAATGTGGGATTTCCCATCACTGCAGTGAGAAGTTTCAAAGAGCCATATATATATAACGTTTCTGCCAATCAGGAACTGCTTTTAATGAGCTCAGTTTAGATATATATCTTATTAGTTTGACTGCCATAAAAAATACCACAGACTGGGTGGCTTCAAGAATAGAAATTTATTGGCCGAATGTGGTGGTTCATGCCTGTAATCCCAGCACTTTTGGAGGCCAAGGTGAGCAGATCACGAGGTCAGGAGTTCAAGACCAGCCTAACCAACATGGTGAAACCTCGTCTCTGCTAAATTACAAAAATTAGCCAGGCAAGGTGGCAGGTGCCTGTACTCTCAGCCACTCAGGAGGCTGAGGCAGGAGAATCACTTGAACCCGGGGGCCAGAGGTTGCAGTGAACCAAGATCATGCCACCACACTCTACCTTGGGCTACAGAGCGAGACTCCATCTCCAAAAAAAAAAAAAAAGAATAAAAACTGTGCATAATAGTAAACTCCCCTGCAGTTTTGTAATGTGTTGAGCCCAAATAAGGATAAGTATAGGGCACTATGAAAACACAAAAAAAAAGACACCGAAGCCCAAGCTAGAAATTGAGGAGAGGTTGGTTCATGGGTTCAAAAATATAGTTAGATAGAAGGAATAAGGAAGCCCTAATGTACAGGAGCACACTAGGGTGGTATGCTTAACAGTAATTTGTTGTATACTTCAAAATAGCTGGAAGAGAAGATTCGAAATGCCATCAACACAAAGACATGATAAGGGCTTGAAATGATGAATATCCCAATTACCATGATTTGCTCATTACACATTTTTCACCTCAACTTCACTGAGTCCTCCTTGACCCCACGTCCTTTTCATAACTTCATCCAGGACAGTGCTTTATACATTGTATATGAAAAGCAACTCACCATCCATTGGTAAGTCTTTGAACATCAAACAGGAAAAAGATGCATAGAAGCTTTCACCTTTTGTTAATCTGTTAATCATCATCTATTTAATCAGTAAACATTTTCTGAGCACCTCGCTATATAAGGTACTTTCCAGATACCTGTGTGGGAAGAAAAGAGGATTTGCACAGACAGAGTTAAGTGTCATTGCACACATTTCCATCATAGCAGTTAAAGGTGAATTCTCTTTCCCTCTTCTGCATTAACAACGTAAGTCTGCATGGAGCTCACATTGACTATTTCCTTATGCACTAGATAAGCTTCAGCTTGGTTGAGTAGATACCACCACCAAATAAATTCCCTTGGGGTTTAAAATGTGTGTCGTGCCAGTGACCTAGCATAAACACAGGCAAATAGTATCTGCAGGCCAAAGGTAAATCTGTATATTTGCTCTCTGAGGTATACTCTTTGAAAATTCCAAGAATGATCTATCTTAGGAATAGATGTTTCTCTTGAAAGAAAAATGGTACATCTCTAGTAAGTAATCGAGGATACGTGAGCATATTATATACACACACATACATATCTACTACTTTTCATTTCTAAAACAGAAGAATTCTCAAAGGACCATTTTCTGAAACACTAAAATTCTCAAAAAGGTTCCCAGAACAGCACATTACTATAACTTGACACCATGTTTTAGATATTACCCAATAAATGTTTGCAAGGTAGCAATAAACCTTTTTTCTAATAGAGGGCTTCATGCTGTGCTACCAAAGTGCAGAGGAAATGACTGAGCAGAAAGCTCAGATACAGTATGCAAAGGCAGCATCAAAGCCCTTCCAAGGCCAGTTCATTACAGTACCTCTGAGGAGGTTCAGAGCCTGCCCTGAGTCCTTCCTCATTATAGGTCACTTGCTTCAAGCCTTTCTAATAACCCCTAAATATGGAAGCACTCAGCAAGGCCACACTTGAGGTAGTCAGAGGTGTTTGGTCCACTGGGTTGAGTAGCTGAAAGTTGGAATGCCTTGCAAGCCTACTTATAATTAAAGTGTCCCTTCTGCCTATTTTTCTTGACAGTCCTACAGCTGCTGACATTAGCCAGCTCTGCATGTCCCCAGCTTCAAGTGCCAACTGCAACCCAATACGCTTGAGATTTGAGAATGTCATTTTCTTAAAAGGTTATAGACGCATTCAGGCAGAAGTCCACCTTTTAAAAGAGGAAATAAGTTATTATTATGCAAACAATTTTCTCTGCATTGGGGCCAAGAGCTTTTCAAGTTAACTGATTTTAATTTGCTAAAAACGAATGTGACAGTCTGCCTCTTATTCAGGAAAGGGAAGCTTTGAAACTGAGATTGAAGTTTGAGCTATCATGCTTGGCACAAATGCTTAGAAAAACATCACACAGGTTTGAAGCGAGTTTACCTCTGTGGTTCAGACATAAATCTATTGAAGTCAAAGACGTTCACTGCTTTCACTAACTTTGGGCAGACTGTGTGTCACTAATCTGGTTAATAAGATTAGGAGTTAAACACACTTGCACGGCTTTATTTTCTACTAGGCTCTAGTTACATTTACAAACATTTACAGCTTCTTTTTACTTAGAGATCGGGCTCTTCTAAAATAGAGCTGAAATGACCATTCTGATATTTTTCTTAGATTCACAAGATGTGAAGAAGAAGGAAATGAAATAAAAAACAATTTGTGTTTGTTTGCTTGTGTATCATGAAATCCTATGGTGAACCCAGATTTTGTAACCCAAGCTTTTACGGATTATGTCTTATTTGTACGTAGCAATTGGTACAATGTCAAGAAAATAGAAGTTGTGTATGTCTATATCCTTAATCAAAAAAAAAAAACAAAACCCTGCATTTACTATTATGTGTCATTCCCTGACTTACATTTCCTTCCCTTAAGTGACATTCACCTTACAAGGTGAATCAGTGGGGAGTGTGTTCAGCTGCAAGTCATATAAAATGAGAATGATCTTAATTCAGAGAGTACCTCAAATATATCTGAAATCTGGAGGTAGACACCTGTGAGCATGAATTCAAGGGCACGATGGTTGACATCTCTGCAGCTGTTTTGATCTTTCCTTAATGATGTTGTTTCACATTGCAAAATGATGACTAGGCAGCTGAAAGGGAAAAGGAAGGCAACCAGTATGTCAGCTCCCGTTCATCAGCAAATGAAAACTTTTTCCAGAAATGCTTAGCAGATTTCTTCTCTTGTCTTCTCATCCAGAACTGTGTTATTCAGCATCTCTGGCTAGAAGGGAGGCTATAAAAGCAAGAAAATGACTAGATCTTGATGATGGTTCAAAGAAATGGTGATGTGTTGTTTGATTTGGACACATTTTCTCTCTAAACAAATTTGAAGTTGTTTGCAAGGAAAAATCGGATTAGAAAATGACTATTAAGTATCTAATATTGTTTATTATAGGAAGTTAAAACAAAGTTAGAGACCATATATAAGAGATGCCCTAACATTAACTAGAACACTGTGCTTGACAAACAGGAGGTTTGGTAAATGTAATGTTATCAATGAATAATAAACATGAAACATAATGAGCTTGTGAGTATGTATGTATATTAGTGTAAGTATTTGCTCTGTGGATGTGACATGTATGTTTTATTTTTAATTTGTGAGTAAATGTTTATTAAAAAGGATAATAGTATCCATCTCTACAAAAAGAGATGAAAATTCACCTTTGGAGTTGATTTCATTAATTTTAGGAAACAACTGAGTGGATGACATACATATGTATCTTAGTCAGTTTCAGGTATTACAGCAAACTACCATAGATTGGGCAGCTTAAACAACGAACATTTACATTCATAATTCTGGAGGCTGGGAAGCCCAGTTTAAGACCCAAACAGATTCTGTTTCCGGAGAGGAGCCTCTTCAGGTTGCAGATGACCAACTTCTTTCTGTGTCCTCACATGGCAGAAACAAGACAAGAGAGCTCTCTGGGGTCTCTTTTATAAGGACACTAGCCTCATTCATAAAGATTTCACCTTCATGATCTATTTACCTCCCAAAGGTCCCACCTCCCAATACCAACACACTGGGGTTTGGAATTTCAATAAATGGATTGGAGGGGAACACAAACATTCTCTCTATAATAATATGTCATCTAATATAATAATATGTCATCTCTATAATAATATTACATCTACTATTCTGGGATAGGGGAGCTCCTTAAGCAGATGGAGTCTTATCATCACTCCCAATAACCACTCTTCGAGGTTTCTGAAGCGGAAGGGGCAAATTGGCTTTGAAAGAATGAGGTCTGCAGTCAGGCTCTTCATGATGTTGCATGCAATGAAATATGTTAAGTTGACTACTGTATCCTAGACCAGTAGCCTAGACGCAACTTCTAGATCTAGTTTACTTGAGAGAGGAGAAACTTTGGGTTGATGACAGAACCCCTTTTAAAATGTGGATGCTGGCTGTGGGTAGGCCTGGAGGAAGTGGCTTTGCATGGGAGTTGAAAGCACAGGTCACTAAGAGCTTATGCTGAAGTGTATGAGACATAGTGTTAGAGAAAAATGGTCCCACCTTGGAGACGGATCCTGTTTTCACAAGCAAGGAAAAGGTCATTAATATCTCAGGAGAGTGTTTTATAAATATACAATAAGCAGGCTAAATAATCATCCCTATAGGAGATTGGGGGCAGGGGATGGGGAAACAACTTACCAGGAGGGTGTGTTTAAAGGTTTCATGGAGAAGACTGAGCTTGAGATGAACCATGAATGATAGTTGTGACTTTTGGAAGTGAGAAAGGGAAAATAATATTCTAGCTGGAAGGAAAATGTGTGGACATTTTCCTTAGGTGGTTAAGAGTCTAGTGTATGTGAAAAATAGTGAAGATGTGAGGAGGATTCTCTTAGAGAATAATGGGAAATATTTGGAAAGGTCAGTTTACTCCAGGAAGTGAATTTTCTACTGAGGATTTCAGATTTTTGCCCATTCAGCAACAGGAAAGCTTTGGAGAGTTTCAATTTCAATTTGAAATGATAAAACAATGTTTAATGTGCTGGTAGAATGCAGAATGGAGTGAATTAAATAAATTTAAGCCACAGATATGACTTAGAAGTGTACTTCAATACTTTAAACACAAAAGGTAAAAGCCTGAACTTGGGAGTGGCAATGAGAATAAAAAGGAAGGAAACAATGTGAACAACATTGCAAAGAAAACTGAAAAAAAAAACACACACACAATAGTGGCTCACACCTGTAACCTAGCACTTTGGGAGGTGGAGGCGGGCAGATTGCTTGAGCCCATGAGTTCAAAACCAATCTGGACAACATGGTGAAACCCTGTCTCTATATAAAAATACAAAAATTAGCTGGGTGTGGGTGGTCCATACCTATATTCCCAGCTTCTCAGGAAGCTGAGGTGGAAGGATCACTTGAGCTTAGTGGTCAAGGCTGTAGTGAGCTGGAAGCACGCTGCTGCACTCCAGCCTGGGCAACAGAGTAAGACCTTGTCTCTCTCTCTCACACACACATATACACACACTCACAATTAAATTGAACACACACAATTAAATTGAACTAACTAATTAAATAATTTGAAAAGAGAGAAGTAAAAAAGTACTGAGCTTTTGAAACTGGATGTCCAGAAAAGGATAAATTTTTGCTTTATCAGTTAAAGTAGACTGCTAGGACAATTAAATACATAGATATAATGAAGTTTACTTCTTGCTTATGTGATTTTCTTAGCGAGGATGGGTCTCTTCAAATGGTTCTTCAAGGATTTCTCACTCTTGAGGTTCTACTCAACAGTGTGGCTCCTCCAAGTCGTGAGGCTTCGTTATCATTTGCTTCCAGCCAGTAGAAGGGGAAGGTGAGTGGAGGCTGAGCACAGCAGGTTTCAATGAGCCAACCCTGAAAGAGCACCATTACTTCTGTTCTCACAACTAACAACAGGGTAGTCTGGGACAGACCATCTAACTCTGTTTTGGCAAACACCCAACATGCAGTCTCTTCCACATTCACTTTATGAGAGGAATACTTATATTATCAAAATAATTTGTTTTGAAATAAAAAAATGTGACATTTGTACAGTTCTGTACATTTAAACAGAACCTAGTTTAATTTTGAAAAAGAGATAGGAATATTTTATTTTGATTCTGCATGCAGCACATGTGTTTTGGGGGCCCTCAGAGTGTGGTGGCACCTTTTAGAAAATGACACCTAATTCATGGCTTTTGTTTGGTCTGATGTCGAAGAATCTTTTGCTTCCTACAATTAGGATTCATTTAAAGATGAGAGAAAGTGTGGATCAAAAAAAGAAAAAACTGAAGGGGTTGAGAAAAGAGATTTGGGGGAGGAGATTTAGAAGAATATTGCAAATGGAATTGCTTAAAAGCAGCATTGTGTATAGTGTTAGGGACTCCCTATTCCATTTATTTGTTTGCTGTTTGTTGTCATTGTTGTTTTAAGAGACAAGCTCTCAGTCTGTCACCCAGTCTGGAATGAGATGGCTTCTTCTTATTTCACTGCATCCTCAAACTCCTGGGCTCAAGTGATCCTCCTGCCTCAGTCTCCCAGCAGGTACAACCACCAAACCCAGCTAATTTTTTGTAAAGACTCAATGTCACTATGTTGTCCAGGCTGATTTCAAACTCCTGGTCTCAATGATCCTCCTGCCTCAGCTTCCCAAAGTGCTGGGATTACAGGCATGAGCCACTGTACCCAGCCTTATTTGGTGGCTTCTCTTCTTGTGTTAATGTTGTCACTTTCTCCCTTGACTTCATGACTTTGGGCAATAATCCCTCCATAATGCTATTTCGATACTTAAAATAATAAAAACAATAGTATGGACCTTATAGGGTTATAATCAAGAGTAAATGGTTTACTGTGAGTTAGATGCATAGCATGATACCTGTCACCCAGGAAAAGCTCCATAAAGAGGTAAATGTCTGCTATTATTGCTCAGAGAGAATAAAAGGAGCATGCCTCAAAATGTCTTCAAAATCACGACAAAGAATCCATATCCTTTCTCACGTTCATACAGAACCTCCCCTAACTGAAAAGTTCATCCCTAAGGATGCTGTTACTTACGTAACACTTGTATGGTGATACAAAATGAGAAGTGTCCTTTGGGAGCCTCCATGAGAGTCCAGTGTTACCGACACATGCAAGATGCACAACAAAGACAAATCAAAATGAAGTCTCCACGCTAAGAATTTACATTAAGTACAACAAAAGAGATAAATGCATTTCTTTTGGTTTACTTCTTGAGATCTCTGGTATGATGAGTTGGCTCAATACATTTGCTTTTTTTTTAAAGTACCCTATAAGACATTATCCAGAGACTTTTCAATCCAATCTATTTGTGATTGCATCTTTGTGTTCAAAGAAACTATTTTTGGAATTGTTGGCTTAGAGTTCCAGCTCTTAGTGTTGTCAAAATTAACTACTTAGAGACACTGGGCAGGATGTTACTGAGTCAGCTAATGGAACTCATGTGTTGAAGAAAAATTTCTTTACAAAAAGAATGGAAGGTTAGGGGTAGGGGAAGCACCCGTGGAATAATACTGTGATGTAGAATATGCCTTACTACATTGGGATCTGAAAAGGTTTCATATCATCTTCCTTCTTGAAAGGAAATTAAATTGCCGTAAGAGGCTATGCTATGCTAAAACAGTAGCCATCTTTTGTTTATTTTTAATTAAATTCCATCCAGATAAGGGATCCTCATCTTCTTTCCTATGGGCTTTTTGGATTGCCACTGATCCATGTACCAGATAAACAAAACATCTTCCAAATTCAATCCATTTGGGATAGCTACTTAAAAGCAGTGTTTTAAGAATTAGATAACTCCTAATATCTTTTGGTAGGGAAAGAGAAATTCCTATTTATTTCAGTGGCTGAAATTACCTCTGAGGCCTGACTGAAAAGATATCCCCTCCCCCCCAAAAAAGAGTATTTAATCTAATTCTCAGTACTTACACTAGGAAATGTAAGCAGCTGTCTGCTGTCATTTGAAGGGCTCTGTGACAGCTCCCTACTCTTTAAAATAAGCAAACAAAGAAACAAAAATAAAAACCACTTACATCCATTAGCCCTTGAAGGTGCTCACAATTCTCACATGCATGCATTCATACATTCACTGATTACTGAGCACACATTCACTGATACATCACGCCATGTGCTAGGCACTAGAAGTACAAGCCCTGTTCTCACAAGCTCACAGTCTAACCATACCAGGCAACCTTTGGTAGAAGAATACTTTCCAGACTGTGTTCTGCAAAACAAGTTTACAGCATAATATAAATTGTGATCTATAAAAATGGTAAAGACTTCTGTGAGCAAAAACACTTGAGAAATAGGTTAAAAACCATATATGCAATTTTCATTTCTTGAGTACTTCTCAGCACCTTTAATATGCCCCCAGACACCATCGAGTACGTGTCGAACGCAGAGGGAAGGATGGATGGATGAGAGGGAAGGATGAATGCAGCAGGGTTTGGATAAGACCCTAACTAGAATGGTCAGACTTTATCGGCCCTTTCCATTTTTCCCATTATCACTGAATTTCAGTTTGATTATGGCTCCTAAGATTTGCAAGAAATGCCAACATTAAGTTTTAGTTCTGTCTCTTTATAGGGACCTAGTCCTATATTATTGCATGTAACTAAGCTATGCCAGTTCCCATCGCTGGCACTGCGTGGTGACAACAGGGATAGTGAAAAGGGCATGAGTTTGAGAGTTAAGACAGCCTTAGCACACTGACTGGCACTCAATGGAGCCTCAATAAATATTTGTTAAATAAATGAGCAAATATCTGGACTTAAATTCCAGCTCTGCCATTTCCTAGCTGTTATTTGAACATTCGGAGCCCTCGTTTAGTCAACTGTAACATGGGACAATGGTATTCATTTTAAAAGAAAGCGATCAGTAAGTCAGCTCTTTTCACGTCTAGTGGAAGTAAATCTTGCTTTTCTCTTTTGGAACTATCTTACCTAAGTTTGTATGACTCCTCCTATTATTTCTTTCATGGTTGTAATACATACACTGACTAGGTCACTTTTTCCAAGTCTGGGCTTCACTATTTGTTCTTGACAGCATTAAAACTTTCAGAGAAATCTGAAGGACCAATTCAAAGGTCACTGCAGTTCTTTATTTCTGGATTCCATCTTTATTCTACGATTATTTAATGAATGCTGAGTATTCTGAAGGTTCTGTGCTAGGCACTGAGGATATGGCAGGCAAGGGTCCCACCCTCATGAATATTAGCAGGAGAAACCAGTGGGACCCAGAATTAAAGAACATTCCTCTCTAGGCTGAAAAATCCTTGAGTATCCAGCTTATGAATAGAAAAAATAACCACAGCAAAGCATATCATTTGCAGGACTTCAGTACACCAAGAATAATGGGAAGGTGTCAAAAGTAAAAGAATAACACAGGACACACACAGAGAAGCAGAATGCCAACAGCCTTCTCACCAGCAACATCAGTGCAGGATGCCTAGGGAGAAATGCCTTCAAAAGTCTTTTATGTGTCATCACTGTTGATTAAGAAATTATTGGAAGACCTGTACCAGCAAAATGAGAAAAACAATAATAGAAGAAGACGTAAAACCCAGGAAACATTAGTTTTAACCCCCAAAAATCAGTGAAACTAAGTCCTGGGGTGACAACTACAGAGCAGTTTCACAGAGGAAACTGTCCAGATTGAAGCAAGAGGAAGAAATCCCTGGAAGAGAGGTTTTCATGAAAAGTGTGAGGACCTAAAGGAATAGATAATGCAGTGATACATTCTGAAAAGTGTATAAAATTATGCAGGAGAAAATACTGTCCATAGTCATAAGGAGAATCACCACTTAGTTCTGCAGTGAACGAAGATTAACATTGTATGATAAACCAAGCATTTGCACTAGTTTCTTAAGGTACCAAAGAAAGACACTATTGAGAAAATATACCTGAGAAATATGAATTCTTGCACTTCAATGCAAATTGAGGGATGGGTTATTTAGAACTTTCTAGCAAGGGTCATTGCCATGGCATAAACTGTGTGGCTTCAAACAATAGCAATCTGTTTTCTCCCGGTTCTACGGTCTTAAAATTTAAAACCAAGATGTCGGCAGGGCCATGTTCCCTCTGGAACTTGAAGTAGATTCTTTCCTTGCCTCCTCCTAGATTTGGGTGGTGGCCAGTAATCTCGAGCGACCCAGCTGAATCACTGTACTCTCTTCCTCTGTCACCACAGGGTTCCTCCCTGTGTCTGTCTTCACACAGTGTCTATCTCTCCTTTTAAGGACAGCAGTCATTTTTAATCCATTTTGACAGGTAAATTTTGCTCTGATTAATTCTGCTATTTTTTAAAATAAAATTTTGAGATAGTTTTGGATTTATAGATAATCTGTGACGATAATAGAGTTCCCCGGTACTCCAGTCAGTTTCTCCTATTATTAACGTGTTATTAACATACATTTGTCACCACTAATGAACCAATATTAATAATTAACTAAAATTTATTTTTTATTCAGATTTGCTTAGTGTTTCCCTAAGTTCTTTTTCTGTTCGCGGATACCACATATATTTAGTTATTGTCTCCTTAAGCTCCTCTTGGTCGTGACAGTTTCTCAGACCTTCCTTGTTTTTGAGGACCATGACAGTTTTGAGGAGCACTGGTCAGGGATTTTTGTTGAATGTCCCTCAGCTGGGATGTGCCCCATGTTTTCCTCATGAGTATGGTACAGGACAGGCTGGTCTTAGCCCAGGAGAGTTCTTGGCTTTGCCCAGTAACGAATCCAGGAGTGAGCTGGTGCTGTTAGACATCAACCTTCTGTTGAAGGGCACTGCTCCTTGTAGAGTAGGGCCAACTCAAAGTCAGTTCAGTTGTCTTCTATTGTTTTTGTTTTGTGAGGCAGCCTTATTAGCACAACCCCGTGTCTAGTAATACCGTTATTATTGGACTGAACTAATATACTCTAAATTTTACAACTTTGATAGGAAAAAGTAGAAACATGAAAAACAATCTATGTTAAAGCTGCAAATAGTTTTTTTTTTCATAGCAATGGACTTATTTGTCATGCACAGGTAGCAAAGATCATCATTTAAAGTTGAGCTTTTTGAGGGCAATTGTTCTAAGGAATTACACTGTATAACATTCTATAAAAGATTGTTCATGGTATGGGCAGATATTATGGATGAGACTGCAACCAGAGCCACTGATACACTATAAGTAGTATATTGATTTTTCTCTAAATAAATATGAATCTAACCCTGAATCCGTTCAATCTCATTTATTACTGGGTCTGACAAAAGTCTTAAGAGTTTTAAATACTCCTTTCTGGACACCAGGAATGGGTGTCCTTTGTTTCATAATGCAAGGGCTCTTCATGACCAGTGGCTTTGCTACCTCGATCCCATAATTGAAACACAGGAATCGCTGCCAAGGAATCATATGGCAAAGTGTGGCCTTCCAAGGCATGTCAGGCAGTCATCCCTCTGGGCCTTGCCCTGCACCTTTTCAAATTGGCTTCTTTTACTCAGTAATATGCATTTATGTTTCCCCCATTTTTTTTTCTTGGCTTGATAGCTCATTTCCCTTTAGCACTGAATAATATTCCATTGTCTGGATGTATTTCAGTTTATATATCCATTCACCTACTGAAGGACATCTTGGTCGCTTCCAAGTTCTAGCAATTACAACTGAAGTTGCTATAAACATCCATGTGCAGGTTTCTGTGTGGACATAAGTTCTCAGCTCCTTAGGGTAAATATCAAGAAGAGTGATTGTGATTGCTGGATTGCGTAAGAGCATGTTTAGTTTTGTTAAGAAAACTAAACTGAACTACCATGAGGAGAGCTTAATGGCCTCAGGTGCTGACACTGAGTAGAAGCCAGGACCTTTTCTCCTTTACTGTATCAAGAATTCTGTTTTTCAACTGGCTTTTGGATACTCTTCCTTAGCTTCCCCCTGCCCAGGATACTTAATGGGTTTAATTAAGTAACTGCAGCTGATGAAACAAATAGGACCCTGACTTCATCGGCTTCTGCATTCTCCCCTGCAGGAATATTTGGGGCATGGAAATCTAAAATGCCTGGTTAAGTATTTAGAATCAGAAAAAAAAAAAATGGGATCAAACCACAACTTAAAACCTCAAAAAAAGTTATCCTGACATTTTCTTTGCTTGTAAATTTGTTTCAGTCAAGAGAATGTACTACCTATTTTTTTTTTTTTTTTTTTTTTGAGAAGGAGTTTTGCTCTTGTTGCCCAAGCTGGTGTGCAATGGTGCAGTCTTGGCTCACTGCAACCTCCACCTACCAGGTTCAAGCGATTCTCCTGCCTCAGCCTCCCAAGTAGCTGTGATTACAAGCATGTGACACCACTAATTTTTGTATTTTTAGTAGAGATAGGGTTTCACCATGTTGACCAGGCTGATCTTGAACTTGTGACCTCAGGTGATCCACCCGCTTTGGCTTCCCAAAGTGCTGAGATTACCAGCATGAGTCACCACGCCCGGCCTGTACTTCCCATTTTAATGTTCCCCACTGAGAGGCTGGATCCTAGGTCTCTGTCCAGAGTGGGACAACTCCCATTCACAAATAAAAGATAAAGGGTAGCACTTCCCACACATAAAACTACCCTATCTGTGTGGATATATCCTGTAGGCTCTCTAGGATATATAATACTCTAAATTTTACGTAATTTATGTAATACATACACTGACCCAATGAGAACTTGAACCTCCCCAGTCCTTCCAGCACCGATTCTAGCCCACCCTAGTGGTTCTGCCTCAGTCTGTGTTTAAAGACTAAAGATTCTTAAACACAGACTATTTTTTAGAGCAGTGTTGGGTTAACAAAACTGAGCAGAAAATACAGAGAGTTCCCTTACACTTCCTGCCCCTACACATGCCCAGCCTCCCCAGCTATCCACCTCCTCCACCAGAGTGGTACATTTGTTATGACTGATGAGCCTGCATCAATATCACCCAAAACCCATAGTTTATATTACCGTTCACTCTTTGTGTTGTACTTTCTATGGGTTTGGACAAATGCTTAGTGGCATGCATCTGCCATTATAGTAACATATAAAGTAGTTTCACTGCTCTAAAAATCCTCTGTGCCCTTGCCTATTCATTCCTTTCTCCACCTCCTCTCACCTCTGGCAACCCATGATCCTTTAATTATTTCTAGAAAAGTTTGCCTTTTCTAGAATGTCATATCGTTGGAATCATACAGCATGAAGCCTTTTCAAATTGGCTTCTTTTACTCAATAATATGCATTTATGTTTCCCCCATTTTTTTTTTTCTTGGCTTGATAGCTCATTTCCCTTTAGCACTGAATAATATTCCATTGTCTGGATGTATTTCAGTTTATATATCCATTCACCTACTGAAGGACACCTTGGTCGCTTCCAAGTTCTGGCAATGACAACTGAAGTTGCTATAAACATCCATGTGCAGGTTTCTGTGTGGACATAAGTTCTCAGCTCCTTAGGGTAAATATCAAGAAGAGTGATTGTGATTGCTGGATTGGGTAAGAGCATGTTTAGTTTTGTTAAGAAACTGCCAAACCGTCTTCCAACTTTTAGGGATTTTAAAACTAGCAGAAAGTCCAGTTGGTCCTCGACCAATTCTATAGCCATGTCTCTGCATCTTCAGAGTCCCTGCGCCAGTGATCGGGAGGGAGTTCTCAGGACTATGGTGGGTGAGTAGTCAGACCCACGAGAGCCAGGCAGTCATCTCTCAATGAAAGTCTGGCCTTGATATCTCCTCTTTCTGATTATTGAGAAAAAGGAATGCTGATGACTGGGCTTGTGCTCATCAGAGATCAGAGTTGGTACATGCTCTGGTTCCTTTTTGAGTTTCTGAGCCCCACCTTAACACCACACACACACACACACACACACAGAGAGACAGAGAGAGAGAGAGAGAGAGAGACGGTGGGGGGGTGAGGGTGAGAGACAGAGAGAGAGGGGGGAGGGGGGGAGAGAGGGGGAGAGAGAGAGAGAGAGAGAGAAATGTGCTTTAGCTTCCACTTCGTTAGTTTACACATTATTAGCTGGAACAAGAGGGCCTTATGGCTGTTTCCCCTCTGAGGCTGGGCAGTGGTTCTCTCCTGTTATGTCCTGACTGTGGGGTAAGGGGTCCAGCGTCTGCACAGGTGTCCCAGGACATCACCAAAAATAGCAGATTTTTGGGACATTCAGGTAAACAACCGGGAGTGTCTTGCCTTCATTGTATAATTAAGGAGTCTCTGGAAGGAAATATGTTTACAGCTAGCTTCCCAAAGTCTAAAAGTGGTAGTCAAGAGTTCTTAATTTCTATACTGAATCCTCATGAGCACTACCTGGTAGGCCTGAAGCTGGTGCCAAAACCACAGGGACCAGGTCCCCTTGCTGGGGAAAGGGATCAACTATCTTCACTTCTTCCACATTCTTTATTATCTACAGAATGTGGGCAGAGTTCACAGGGGGGTTATTTTCTGCAGGGAGAGGACCACAGATTTTGGCAGGAAGATGTGGAGCAAAGCCCCTGAGGAAAGAAACTGACGCGTGAACTCCAAGAACAGCCACGCCAAGTAACAGATGAAAGTCACTCACAGTGTTAAATATTCATTTGTTACCCCAACAAGAAAAGTCTTGTTGAAATTCAGAAAATGCAGAATTACAGTATTCAAGATTTAATTTCACCAAATAAAACGTTTGTGGGGATACTGCTGTATGAGCCAAGATTATCATTTCATTATTTACCCTAATAATTTGCACTCTATTTTGATTGCATCCTCTACCTTTTCATAATCCTGAGAAAAGATCATCATTGTATTGCGAAATCAGGAATATTCTCAGTTTCCATGTGCTTCTAAACTAGTGTCGGAAGCTCTTCTGGGAAGTAGAAATCGCCCACGTATTCCCCTGAACCTTGTAGTCTACCGTTGAGTTCAGAGCGGCTCACACACTCATAGTTTTGCAGATCCCAGGAGCAGTGTACCCACAGCCTGATTCTTTTTCTCTCCAGTGACTTGTTTTATAATTTGGTAATGTTTCCTTTGTATGAGTGGGTTTGTGATTTCTTAATAAAACTGCTGACCACCTGCAAAAGAAATATTGAAGTATCAGGAAAAACACATCTCAGGAGAAAAAAAGGCATGATAAATAGAACCCTGTACTTTTTTCTCACTGTGGCATCTTTAAAATTTTTTTTTTCTAACTACAAAATTCCATTACTGTAAATTCTGGCTCTCTGAGCTTCAGGAATTACTTTTAAAGGTGAATTTCATACAAGTAGATGTAGCATCCTCTTTCAAAATAGAGTAATTTAAGTCTATTCTTAAATTTTTATTTATATATCTTAGTTCTTTTAATTTGGAAATATATCAGTTCTTTTTAAATGGAGTCTACATTAAGCAAATACTCCTGGGAAATCTGAATCAGTTGTGAAATTTGGATTTTTAAATAAAAATTCAAGTGAGAAGTAAACAATGTACTTGAGATTTGACATGGCCAATAAACCAGAAATACCTCTCAGTATGATCTGAAATATTTCACAACTTTTGTGAACAGAGTGTAATCTTTCAATAATGATTTTGACATAAAGGGTTAGGCCCAATTTATTAACTAGTTAGGAATCTAATCAATCCAGCTACAGAACTGTCAGAGTTAAATAGCATAAATACAAAATGAATTTTTAACTATTCAATCCAGCGGCCCATCATGTTTTTCAGGGTACAAGTCCATGACTTCACTATAGGAAAATCAGATTATAAGGGAATAACATGAAGACCCTACTGGAGAACCCTGGAGAAAAGCATGGTGTCAGCCAAAGCTGTATTCACAGCCAATTCTACCATTTACAAGCGCCTGAGCTGGCCACTCAACTTCCTGAAATCTCAGATAGATTCTTCACAAAGTTGTGGAGTTTAAGATATTTTTACTATTGAAAGTGAGTAATCCTTCTGCCATGTTTATCATATTAATTACATAATATTCTGCTGATAAAACTCAAATGTGAGCACTGACTCCAAAGATCATCCTCAGAGCCACTGGAAAACATCTAGGGATTCTATTAGCCTAAAAGATATATGAGTAGTGCCATGAGATCGACATGTGACAACACAGAAGATGAAGGAATAAAAGGAGAGGGATGGCAGGAGGGTGAAGGGAGTTTCAGGATGAGTTAGCTTCTTGGAAAAAAAAGGTAGATTTAGAGAGTGACTCAAAATGATGTAAATAAAGAAATACAGAAAGAATAGGAAAAACTTACAAAGTTAAAGAATCATTTTAACTTTTTTTTTTGAGACGGAGTTTCGCTCTTGTTACCCAGGCTGGAGTGCAATGGCGCGATCTTGGCTCACTGCAACCCCTTCCTCCTGGGTTCAGGCAATTCTCCTGCCTCAGCCTCCTGAGTAGCTGGGATTACAGGCACGCGCCACCGTGCCCAGCTAATTTTTTGTATTTGTAGTAGAGACGGGGTTTCACCATGTTGACCAGAATGGTCTAGATCTCTTAACCTCATGATCCACCCGCCTCGGCCTCCCAAAGTGCTGGGATTACAGGCTTGAGCCACCGCGCCCAGCCCACTTTAACTTTTTTTAAGTGGGTACTCTCTGCTATTATTCCTCAAGGAATCATTTGCATTTCATGTATTTCTCTTCCACTAACAAAAATTTGATTGTGCCCTTTCAGGATGACAGAGGAGTTTATAACACTGTCCTTCCAAAAGTGGTCAGTCACTCTAAGGTTGGAAAACATCAACCAGTATGTTAACACAACCTATGCTGGTTGGTCTCTTAAGAAACAACATAGCATTTTTCCCCAAGGTTAACCATCACATTTCTGTTTGGAAAATAGTTATTAGTACTATGGTGAACACGAGCTGGAAGATGTTTTCTGTAAAAGAGAAACTAGTAAATTGTTAAGATTTCAACTTTGTTGGAATTTATTAATTCTGTCATTTTAGTGGAATAGCAGCCACAGATCATATATAAATGAGTGGAAATAGCTCTGTTCCAGTAAAACTTCATCTACAAAAACAGGCTGCAGGCCCGGTTTGGCTGTTGGTCATAATTAACCAGCCCTTGATCTACAGAACCAAAAAACTTTATATATTTCCTTCACATCAGCTTCCTTCCAGAAATATAAGGCTTCCCAAGGGTGGCAGAGGAGAGTATTAAAACAAATGCCAGGCACAGGGCAGGAGAGACAGATTATGGCAGGACAAAGGGTACACAGCATCATTTCTTCCCTTTGCCCAGAAGAAAATAACTTGGCGATAAGAAATACAGAAAAATATAGTCGCTATGAAAATAGCGTGAGCCCAACAATTACACAAGAATAAAAAAAAGTTTTTTTAAGTACATCTTAAACTAACTAATAATAGGACAGCAAAAACTGAAAGCCAAGATGAACTTAAAGTAATACCCAGGATGCACAAATAACTATTTTGCTTCTGGATAAAATTGGCATTTGGATGTTGGGTGGGGGCGGGCTTTTAACTATCTGTGTGTGTGCAAAGACAGCAGAAACTTGATCTTGCTGCTCAGACTTAGTAGGATATGGAGTTTATCGACCTATGGAAATTCTAGTAACTTACAAATTTTGGTGTACATGTACCAAGTGTTAGTCATCTTTAGTCATTCACTTACTCAGTTAGTAATGATTTGTTCTTAGTCATTATAAAAACGAGAATCCATGAGCTTGCACATCCCTCCTTCCCACAAGAACCCATGACAGAGCATGCAATTGTTCATCATTCACAAATCAGGAAACCCCCTGACCAAACTTTGAGAAACAGCAGTCTAAACTTTTCCCACCTTGATGTCTTTGTTCACAGAGTTCATTTTGCCTAGAACATCCCTCTCCACTCACTCATCCTCTCCTTGTGCCTTACTTCCGGCAGCCACACATACAACACAACTCAGGGCTGAGGAAAACCTTTGTTCTTCATACAGCGTTCTTGAACTTTCTGGCTTTCTGCTCTTACCAACTGGAAGTAATCTTCTGGCCCACATCCCATGCAAAATGTCCACAGAACTAGGCTTGAGCTCATCACATCCCAGCGTTAGTGCCATTCAACTTTCTGTTACTGCTATGTGTCCCTGCTTTACTAATAAGCTCCTTGAAGAGGCTGAATGTGTCACTGTGCTTTGAGCAGTAGACTGAACATAGGCAAATATCAAGTACATAAATGAATTTCTGAATGAGATATATAAACCCATAATAATCTATTACATCCAGGTTCTATGTCATTTTCTAAACACTAGGACTGAATTTTAGTTGTACAACTTCACTGCATAGTATAGTTACTTGTTGACTAGGTATACATTAATGATAACCACTTTGATACAATTATATGGAGTTTATGGAGAAATTATTTGAACATTCTTTAATTAAAACCTCCCAATAACCCTGAAAGGATATTAAAGCATGTTACAAATGAAGAGCTGAAGCTCAGAGAGTTTTAATGGCATCACCCAGACACTATACTTAGTAAGTGGTGGAAAATAAATGTGAGGTGTTATGGAAAATAGAAATATTTTCACTCTCTTACTCTCTCTCTCATCCTTCCCTGATCCTTCGAGGTTTTATAAACTTTTAAGTAAAAGACAAATAAATCTTATCATAAGCCAATCTCTTATAAAGTATATATCATTCTTTATTATATACTATATTATAAATGCAGTGTATATATATCACTATACACTATATTATATAATTTACTATATATGTTATATAATATACTATATTATAAAATATGCAATTAGGCATATTTATACAGAAAATAATTAAGATCACTGTAGATTTATTAGAAAAAATCACATGGAGAAAAAAATTGTTTCTGAAAATTTGTGAGGGAAGGCAGATTTATGTAAGAGAATTTCAATCCAGTTAATTTTGGCTTAATGACTTATCTAATTAAATAAACTATAAACTTAGTATTGACATTCTAGGTTAACCATGACATCATTCTAGGAGAAAGTCAAATATACTAGGCTCTGATATGAAACTTTCTAAAATAAAATCCCAAATGACTTAAGGTAATCTAACTTTGGTCAAGAAAGTACAGTCATTCAATATCTAAGGCTCCTTGTGAGCTCAAGTTGGAGGACTGAAAACCACATCACATTAGCTGTGTAACTGCCAGATAAATTGTTCACAATCATAACTGGATATTTTTTTTGCCCTGGGCCATGTCAGATGAATGGAACCAGGCATGGGACAACAATGAGATTGTCAGGGGATAGTGAAGAATCACAGGAGGACATCTTTCCTCATTTCTCCATCTAGAAATAACAGGTCCTGATGACATCCTCACACCAACATCATCATCCTTCCATTCACTGCAGCAGAGGCCACAACACTGCTTTGTCATCTCATTAGGGCCCTTCCTTCCTGCTTAGTCCAGTAGGACCATCTCTCTCCTTAGCTGAGACTGACATTTAAGGAGAAAGATAGCTAAAGGCAGCAGGTCTTAGGACCTGATTTGGACACATTTGAGATTTGCCTTTTACCCCATGGCAAAGTTACTTTGACTCCTCTATGTTGTTTTTTCTTATATATGAGAAGAATAAAAATATAGCTAATATATATTGAGGCCTTATTATGGGTATTCTTATAAGCACTCAAAATATATTAACTAACTTAATCCATGCAATAACTGTTACTATTTGTCTTAATCCATTCAAACTACAGTAACAAAACGTCATAGACTGGATGGTTTATAAACAA